CAGACCAAACAAGGTGAGGATAAAACCTCCCTTATCCTCCTCCACCCCACCCTCCCCCCTCCCCCCTCCCCTCAAACCAAACAACCCAAAAAGATCGGAATAGCCAAGTTGAAATTAAACAAAAGCTCATTTAATAATGGTTTCATGTAAGCTCAAGAGAAAAATTACTAAGACGATTTTTTACTCAAATATGCTCAATTTGCTTTTTGCATTATAAAAAGACGAATATGAGTTTTAAATAACTCCTAATGAGTCATTAATTTAGGAAAAATTATTATCAAATTTTTTCCTCCTACTATCAAACTACTTGAAGGGAAGACCAAAATTTTGACAAATTAAATTTCATTATAAGAAGAGAAATATGAGTTGAATTTTTTTTTCACCTTGAAAACACTACTGCAAGAATGGACTTGTATGTGGCCCTTTCGCGTTGGTGGTAATTTTGTAAATAGATTTAAACTTTTCATGATGACTGTACTAATAATCTTCGCATGATGACCTGTTTTTTTTTTTTTGAAAAATTACAATAAGATTCTAAGAAAAAAAACTTACAAAACAAATCCAAAAAATATCAATAAAACTTTTGGATTTTTTTTTTTTTGAGATTTGGTTGTAATTTTCAAGGAAAAAAAAAAACCGGACCGAATCGGCCGGTTCAACCGAAAAACCAGTGAACCAGTCTACAGTCTGGTCTGGTTTGGATGGTGAACCGGCGGTTTAATGAACTGGTAAAAAACCATTTTAACCAGAAAAAACCGGTATTAAATCGGGTAACTCGGTTCAGTGGGTTACCCGGTTTATTTTTTTTTTTTTGCCTGGCCAGAATCCCAAAACGGCACCGTTTTATTAAAAAAAAAAAGAAGCGCTTCTTCTCTTTTCCTCCGGTCGAGTAACTCAAATTCCCTCATTCCCTCATTTCCCTTCCCTCTCCTTTGCGCAGCGCCGGCTCTTCCCTCCCTCAAGCCCAAGCCAAAATCGCCTCCTCCAAGATCCCTGCTCCCTAGCGTTGTTGGCTGTAGAGGTCCTTGTTTGGCCGTTCCCCAACATCATGGTCGCCTTCGCCTTCGCCTTCGCCTCGTCTTGCTTCGGCTTCACCACTCTCATTCGCAGAAGGCAGAACCGCAGAACCGAAAGTCAAGTCGCAATTGCGCCTCCACCTCGCAGTCGCATCCCACGTCTGAGGCTCTAAGCTCACAAGTCTCCCTCGCTCACCACCTCCTGCTTGGCCTTCACTACTAGCATTCGCAGAAGGCAGAATCGAAACTCAAAAGTCGCAGGTCTCCCTCAAATCCCGATCAGCATTGTCCCTTCGATGTATTGAGTTGTGGGTAAGCTCGAAAATTTTCCCTTTCAGCTAGGTCGTGTTTTTAGGATTAAAGAGCTGCCTTCGTTTCTTCTTTCTCTCTGGCTGTCGAAAGGTTTGGGAAGGGAGAAGATAAAAATTTTCCATTTGATTTCTGAACATTTGAAGTAGGAGAAGAAATTAGTTGATGAATTTTTATTTTTTTTTTGCTGAAATAATATAGATTTTGTTTCCTTTGGAGATTAGATGAAATTGATTCTGGATATGTAAAGTACAAACACTGTTAGCTTTAGCTTGAAACCGAAGAATATACAAATTTGTCTATTTCAACTTTCAAATATTGATTAGTACTCTTCTGGTCAAGAAAAATGTATTGATTAATAATCAATATGATATTTTTAATATTATGAATTAAATTATATTATCTTAATATGACCGGTCTGACCCCGGTCTGACCACGATCTGACCAGTAACCCTTGACCCACTGTCTTGACCGGTTTTTTGTTTCTCGGTAATTTTCTCTTCTGGCTGACTCGCTTCCCACTGCGTTTTCCTAACATTCCACGGGATTTCCGCTACTCTGACGTCGTCGTCGTCCTCTCTTCTCTCCGCCAGCATATTCCATCAAAGTACGTGTTTCTTCTCCTCCTCTCTTCGAATAACAATTTTAATGGCTTACTAGTTGTTATTTAATGCTTTTAAACAATTGGATATTCAGTTTTTTTTTCCTTCTAGAAACATGAATTTTGCAATGTAGTTGAGTTTTATATTGATTTGTGGTTTTATATAGTGGGTATGCAAATTTTTGAATCCTTAGTTGAACTGATGGTTGTTTGACGCTTTTAAACTCTTGGATATTCATTTATTCTCTTGAAACATGAATTTGACAATGTAGTTGAGTTTTATGTAGTTTAATATTGATATATAATATATGTAAATTTTTTAATCGAAAACAATATTGAAATAGGTTTTTATTGAGATTGGTGTTGCCATGGGAAATTATTTTTTTAAACTAAGCAAATGTTATTAAATTCTGTTGATCGGACAAATATAGTTAATGATCTAAAAGATTTTAATTACAATTAAGAATTGCAAACATGTGATGCTTTATAAATAATGGTGCAGTGAGTGCAGCGGAAGGTTTTTAGTAATTTATTAAAATCCGTACAATAATATAATTAACCTACGAATGAATCAAACAAAGTGGTAGGTACAGGCTTGCATAAATTAAAAAGAATGTTAAAAAAAAGTATTGAGAAAGTAAATGTCGCTCCTATACTGAGTACTGAGTAATGACTCCATTTCCGCTTAATAGTATCCTCCTTATTGTAAAACAAAATTATCAAAATAATGTGATTCAAAATATTGGTTAAATCTAGTTGAAATCAATAAATATGTAAGATATATACATGTTTTTAAAACTATACTCTTGCTTATAAAGAAATTAGGCGAGAGATAGTAAGTGAAAAATTCAATGCAGAGGATAATATATGGCATATATTTAATGACAGTAAAATGAAAAGACAAGTTTAAAATTTCATACAAAAATAATTTGTTTTTTATATTTAGAGACATCATTATGAAAGAAGCTGTTTTTTATAGAAAGAAACGTAAGTAGTAAAGCCCGCCCAAACTGCTAGATGACTCTAACATGATATCTAGAACAGAAACAATAGATGATTTTGCAATATTTGACATCTATTTTCTAAAAGATCAAATTTCAAGATGAATCAAATTCCCTTTTTAATTCTCATTTCAAGAGAGGGAATGGAGAATGAATTCCATTTTAAGCAAGGAACAAAAAACCGGACCGGATATTAAACCGGTTGAGACAGTGGGTCAAGGGTTACTGGTCGGACCGAGGTTGGACCGGGGTCGGACCGGTCATATTAAAATAAAATAATTAATTCATAATATTATGTATCTTGTTGATAAAAATGCAACCAGTAAAGGATATACTCCTCATCAATTGAATACAATGTATCTTGTTGACTCCATCTTAAAACTTTAAAAGTACTATCAGTTGTGATTGAGGGGGGGGCAGAAGCAAGAACGGTGAATGCTGTTTATAAGCTTATTTGTTGCGATGCCTTAACATTAATTTACTTACAGTTCCAAATTCCAATGCAAGGCAAGTATATTTTTGCCATAAATCATATCCTCTGTCTCTCTACTAAAGATTTTTCTCTTGTTAAAATTAAAAACGAAAAAAAGATACTTTTCCTAGGTACAATCTTTACATGCGCAGCAGCGTAGGAAATAACTGGTTATCTCCTCCCTTCCCAAACCTTTCATTCAACAGCAAAAGAGAAAGAAGGCACAATCCAGCTGAAAGGGAAAATTTTTGAGCTTACCCACACACAACTTAATGCACCGAAGACGAAGGGAACGCTAACTTGCGATGAAGCGATTTTGGGGCTTAGACCTGCGGCAACTTGCGATGATTGCGATTTTGGAGCTCAGACCCTCAGACTTACGAGCTTAGATGGTTGAGGGAGACCGGAGATCAGACTTGCGAGATTGCGATTTTGGAGCTCTGCCGAACAAGGAGCTCTGTCGGAGATCGCCGTGCTGTCAGTGACGCTAGGGAGCAAGGATTTTGGAGGAGGTGATTTTGGTTTTAGGGAGGGAGGCGAGATGCTATTTTGCGAGCCAGAGGAAATGGGGAATCAGATATTCAGATTCGGGGGAGGGAAATAGGGGGAAGTCGACGGGAAAGGGAATTAGGAAAGGAAGAAGGAATTTTTTTTTTAAATTAAAATGAGCTGTTTCGTGCGTTTGGCAGAACAAAAAAGAGGGAACCGGCTAACCCAGTGAACCGGGATTACCCGGTTTTGTACCGGTTATGACCGGTTCAACCGGTTCTTTACCGGTTCGATAGGCCCCCGGTTCAACTCCTGAACCAGACCGGACTGCAGACCGGTTCACCGGTTTTCCAGTCGAACTGGCCGGTCCGGTCCGGTTTTTTTTTCCTTGATTTTAAGGCATAATAGATTGGAAGATCTCAAATTGAAACAAGAGTTACTTTAATAATTGATTTCAACACGAGAAAATTTACAAGGGACTTCTTATTAAAATATCCTCATTTTCACTTTTTATATAAACTTTTGCTCTTACGTCTACCTGGGATACTTTTCTGGGGCAGTGAGTCCTGCCAAACCTCTTAGTAATTTATGCAAACCCGTAAAATTAAATCCAGATTGTGATGCTGTAAGGAAATTAAAAGGATAACGATATATAAAAGGGCTGCAAAAATTAAAAATACAACAAAGAAAGAAAGTGACAAATACGGATATTTAAATGATTCCGTTCACCAGTCCCAAAAAAAAAATGATTCCATTCCTCTTGAATGTTTCATGTACAAAGAACTAAATGATTCTCAAGAAAATTTAAAAACAATTAATGTCTCTTTAGAAAATTCAAACTAAATAATTAAATGTTTCACACATATTTTCATGCAGCTTCCTTGAGATTTCAATACCACACACTGTAATAAACGTTTAAACAGCTTTCTGTACCAAATACTATAAAAATGGAGCCGTTCTATATCCTTACCCAAACCAAAAATAAAAAGACTAATAAATATGTGGAATTAAAGGATTCATAACAATTATAAGTAGAGAACTTGGCGTTCCATGGTCCTCAGAACATCGCCCAAAAAAGTAGAACTAAGTAGAAGCTTTTTCTTTTCACTCCAATGGCTCTCTACCAGTTTCCCTTGCTTTCAAATGCTATTATCTTCAAAACCAAAATGCTCCAATCAAAACCAATGCCATCACTTCCAACGGTTAAGACCTCTGGTGTTCCACGTCCAATCCAATGCAAGGCTTTAGCCACTATTGTTTCTAATCGAAAAGATTCTTCTCGTGGATCTGCAAATCACTTTCAACCTTCAATTTGGGATTATGATTATATCCAATCGATAAGAAGTGATTTTGTGGTACGGCCTGTTTCACGTTCATTTACTTGTATTGCTCAAATTTTGTTCAATATCATGATGATTTTTTTTTTTGCCCTTGCGAATGATCGATTTTCTAATTATTATGACCCACAATTTATGATGGCTCAACTTTGAAATGTTACAGGAAGAATCACATCTAGAAGAAAGAGATCGGTTGAAGGGAGAAGTAAGAGTGATGCTTCTGACTTTGACAAATCCTGTGGAACAACTAGAGCTCATCGATGACTTGCAAAGACTGGGAGTGGCTTATCATTTTAGCCAAGAGATAAGAAAAATAATGGAAAAGATTTACAATAATGACACATTCAAGGTAAATAACAATTTACATGCCATGGCTCTTGAATTCAGACTATTAAGACAACAAGGCCACTATGATGTGTCATCAGGTATGAATTTTATCATCATTACTGAGAATATAGAAATGTCTTCATATATCAATACCAATAATTATTCAATTTGGATATTTTCAGAGACTTTTGATGGATTCCTCGATAAGAATAGTAATTTTCATTCTAGACTTTCGAGTGATATCAAAGGTTTGCTATCTTTGTATGAAGCTTCTTTTCATTCAATGGAAGGTGACATAGTTTTGGATAAAGCGAGAGAGTTTAGCTCAACTCATCTCAAAGAATTTCTGAACAAAAGCAATGAAGACGATGAGATATCACTCTTAGTTAGTCATGCTCTGGAGTTTCCACTACACTGGAGGATATTGAGATTAGACACTCGATGGTTCATCGATATTTATGAAGGAAGACCGAGCATGAGCCCTGCTTTGCTTGACCTTGCTAGATTGGACTTCAACATCGTACAAGCTATTCACCAAGACGATATGAAAAATGTATCAAGGTAAAAGTATTACATATTCAACCTGCTAGGAAACTTGATTATTTTTAGATCTTAGAACTCTTACAATGATTAACATTTTATTGGCTGAATATTTTCAAGTAAAATTTTCTGTCCCTATGAAATTTCTTTCACAAATATACAACACTTCATGTCTGTTTGGATTAGTTTTTGGATAATATATTTTGAAAAAAGTGATTTAAAAGAATAAATTTTAGTAGAATAGATTTTATGAAAAAAATGATTGGGCATGATATCCTTTGTGACAAAAGTGATTATTGGAATTTCCACAATCTATTTTTCCACCAAAACTGTGATTTTGGTTTAAGCCAGAAAAAATAATTTTCTATAATAACTTTTTCGCAAAAATTATTCTACTCAATTTTTTTCTATAATATATTCGGCAAAAGCTAATGTAAGTACACCCGAAGTTGTTCTCCCTAAATTATGTCCGTTTATCTTATAATTCAACTCAGTAAGATTATGAGTTTCAAACATATTTCTCAATTTCATCTTTTTAGAGATGAAATCGATGGAACTTCAAGAAGAATTTTACAAAGCGCTAGTCCTTCAAAGAATGTAAAAAGGATTGAGAAAATAAGCATACTGCTAATAAGAAATCTTTTTCACTTCATGGTTTTCTTATTGAAGATGGTGGAAAAGAACTGGACTTGGAGAAAAACTGAGTTTTGCAAGGGATAGAATGGTTGAGAACTTCATTTGGACAGTGGGTTTAGCTTTTGAACCACACCTTGGCAATTTTAGAAGAGCGATGTCAAAGGCTAATGCATTGATAACTACAATTGATGATATTTACGATGTTCACGGCACTTTGGAAGACCTAACACTTTTCACAGAAGTTGTTAATAGGTTAGTAAGTTGTCTTTTGATATATGTGTATATATATAATTTGTTGTCCTATAATCTTCATAACATTTGTTAAAAATTTATTCCTATTTTACCACATAGGTGGGGATATAAATTCCATGGATGAACTTCCAGACTACATGAAAATATGCTTCCTTGCACTTTATAATTTTGTCAATGAAGTGGCTTTTGACTTCCTCAAAGAAAATGGGTGCAACATCATTCCACACCTTAAGAAAATGGTATGCGTTGATTTGCTTCATGGATTTCATGTTTTCGTAGTTTTTATAATCTAAATTACATAATCATGTTATTTCCTGATTTTATATATTCACTATTGTGTCTAATTTTCAGTGGGCTGATCTCTGTAAATCATATCTGGTTGAGGCTAAATGGTACTATCGTGACTATAAACCCAGCTTTCATGAGTACCTAGAAAATGCATGGATTTCAATTAGTGTACCAGTCGCACTTTTTCATGCCTATTTTTCACTTCCTAATTCAACAAATAAGGAGGACTTGATTTGGTTAGATGAATATTCTAATGTTATCCGATGTTCATCAACCATTTTCCGCCTTGTCAATGATTTGGGAACAGCTAAGGTATCATGTCACAATCCTCTCATATTTAATTAACCATTAAGTATTACATGAAACATATATGATATTTTTTTCCCTCCAAATCTTTAATTTTGCAGAGAGAAAAGGTGACTGGCGACATACCCAAATCAGTTGAGTGTTATATGAATGAAACAGGAGCTTCTGAAGCTGATACTCACAAGCACATAAATTCCTTGATCTGTGAAACTTGGAAGAAGTTGAATGAAGAAGTTAGCAATTCTTCTTATAATTCAAGGAGTTTCGTTCAAGTTGCTGTGAACCTTGTAAGGATGTGCCTGCGCATGTACCAACATGGAGATGGGCATACTGTTCAAGATGATGAAACTAAGAATCGTATAATATCACTACTTTTCAAGCCTATTGTATGACTTTAATTAATTTGATGGAAACGAGCCTATTGAATTTGCTTATCAACGTATGTGCAAGAGTTTGTCAAACATTTTCAAATGTCGTTTATTTGTTTGGTAATCAATCGTATGTGCTTGATATGAATAATGCTTTTGGTCCTTCCTCCGATCTCTTCTTTTTCCTTCTTCCTCTCTTCCTCTCTTTTCATTTTACTTTCTCCCTTTTCTTTCTTGCTTGGCTGACTTTCTTAGCAAAAAATTAAATAAGGGAATAATACATTTTTCTGTGCTCTCATCTCATTTATCAATCAAATTACATAATTTCTAAAGTCCAAATTATTATTTTAATGTCTGCTTTTGATCAAATGGGCCAAGGGTGTTCTTGCGTTGTCTGCCATTGCTTCAGATTTCGCCACGTATGTACTTGAGAGAGACTGGATTGTCCTTCCAAAAGCGTGATTAGGCTATTTAGGTCTAATCTTTCAATGATTATGAGATTAACCTTCCACAAATGCTTCTTGAAGATGATTCGATCATATAACTAATGTGAGACCATCAATAATTTATATTAATCAGGGTGTACTTTCCCAATTTTTCTATAGTCGAAATTTGGTCTCTAAGCATCTTTCCTTAATTAACCTTTTGAGAAATTGCCCTATTTTTGAATAAAATAATATAAAATATTTTAAAACCAAACTTTAGATTTATAGAGCATGAAACCATTTTTATAAATTCAAAATAATCCAGATTATGTATCATTGATGGCAAAGAAATCAAAGAAAAGGATAGGGTTATATAGCCAGTGCGTCTTATAGAAGATCTTGCACCGACAAACTAGGTTGCTTGGGAATGAAAACATGGCGCAGCAAGTATAAACAGGGTATATTATTTGACTTAGCAACCATGATATTTTTATACCGTCTTAAAAATTTCATATGCATTTTCCCACTCAACAAAAGTTTATGATGAAAATCTAAAGCAGAATACTTCATTGACAGATTTTCAGGTTAATGCTTTTTGAAATATATCTTGATCACTTGAAAGGCAAATTACTAATTAACCTACCCTCCCGTTGTCTCTATGAATACACAATAAATGGTTGTCAGGGGCAATAAAAAAATAAGCATCCGCGCAAAAAGAAAAGACAGAAAAAATATACGAGCACATGTTTTTGAAAGGACTGATTTTAGAACATCACATTTTACGACTATGAAATGTAATTTACCCCCACGGGAGAGATTCTTGGAGCAGGAGTGCTTCTCGTGATTTGTGACGGAGACAACTCAGGGCATGGAAACCATTGCAAAGTTCTTTTGAAGCCACAAAAAAGTCTAAAATATCAAGCAAGCGTGTGGATAAGAGTTGCATAGACGTACAATTATTGGGCCACAAATGTCACAAGTTCACAACCACAACCATCTGTATCAATCAAGCCTTAAATGAACTTATTTACTTATGATTTGAAATTTTTTTTAAGCATGTTTTAAAAAGGCAACACGGAGATGATTTGAAACTTTCATAGATCCATATACGTTAGCTTATTCTTTTTTATTTTCTTTGTGAGTATTCAAAATTTAATTTCATTTTGGCTTCAACATAATAATTTTTGCTTAATTATTGAAGGATTACGGACCCGTTAGTTCCAGAAATTGTTTAAATAAAATTCAAGAAATTGAAGTAAAGGATATTTTGTATATACACAAAATATTATGTAATAGAAAAAACAAAAGAATTGGAGCACACGTGATTTTCACGTCGCGACAAGTGGGATCTTGTGTTTTGTGAAGGAATGCAAGACTTGGATGGACACCACCGCTAGTGTGTGGATAAGTTCGGAGCACATACAATTATTTGGCCACAATTATCATGATAACCACAACCATGGCCACCAAATACTAAATGAACTTGTTAACTTGTGATTTGGAACTTCTACATCCATACATTCGTTTAATGATTGGAAGAATTACAATAAGATCCTAAAAAAAATAATTACAAAATAAGTTTTAGAGGTTGTTATTGCCTACTCTAGAACTTGTTATTACAGGTTGCTTATACTGTTATTAAAACTTATTGGTAATTATTTTTCTTGCTTGGGATTTGATTGTAATTCTCCCTTAATGTTTTAAGTTTTTTTATTTATAAGTCATTTTTAACATGTTTTAAATTAATTATATTATAAATTTAATAACTTGTTAACTTTACTTTTATTTAATATATGCACTTTTTATTAAAATAATAGTTGATACAACAATAAATTAATGATGAAATTGTATATTTATATCAAAAGTTTAATATAAATAGGATAAAATTTCTCTTCAGCTTATAAATACGACTAGAGGAGCGTTGCTTGAATAAAATTCAAGAAATTGATGAAAACAATAATAATTTTGCATATAAAAATAATACAATAAAATTGTGGCAATAAAACATGGTCCACCACCCCGGATTACAAATCTTATTTTTGGTTTAGTGTGAAATTCAGGTAAAGGTTCAAACACCAGTAAGGTAATGGTTTTAAAGGATCCATACCAAATATAAATGGATATACAACTGGGATTCCCATTGCCCCCTGAACATCGGAAAAGAAAGCAGAACTAAATAGACGCTTTTCCTCTCCACCCCAATGCCTCTCCCCAAATTTCCCTTCCTTTCAAATAGAATTCACTGGAAAGCCAATATTCTCCAATATAAACCAATACCCCCAGCACTGTCAACAATCATGATCTCTACTGTTCCCCGTAAAATCCAATGCAAGGCTTCGACCACTATTGTTTCTGATCAAAACAATGCTTCTCGTAGATCTGCAAATCACTTTCAACCTTCAATTTGGGATTATGATTATATCCAATCAATAAGAAGTGATTTTACGGTATGGCGTGTTTCACGTTCATTTACTCGTATGGTTTGTTAAAACTTTATGATGGCCTAATTTTAAACTGTTATAGGAAGAATCATATCTAGAAAGGAATGATCGGCTGAAGGAAGAAGTGAGAGTGATGCTCTTGACTTTGACAAATCCTGTGGAACAACTAGAGCTCATTGATGACATGCAAAGACTGGGGGTGGCTTCTCATTTCAACGCAGAGATAAGGAACATAATGCAAAAGATTTACAATAATGGCACATCAAAGATAAATGACAATTTATATGCCATGGCTCTTCAATTCAGACTCTTAAAGACAACAAGGCTACTATGATGTGTCATTAGGTATATGATTTATATTCACAGATTATAAAGTTCACAAAAATCACATCACTACTGAGAATGTAATTGCGTGGTTATTTTCAGAGTCATTTGATGGATTCCTGGATGGGAAAGGTAATTTTCATTCTTCCCTTTCGGGTGATAGCAAGGGTATCCTATCTTTGTATGAAGCTTCTTTTCATTCGGTGGAGGGAGAAATAGTATTGGATAAAGCAAGAGAGTTCAGCTCAACTCATCTCAAAGGATTTGTGAACAAAAGCAGTGAAGATGATGAAATATCACTCTTGGTTAGTCATGCCTTAGAGCTTCCACTACATTGGAGGGTATCAAGATTAGAAACTCGATGGTTCATCGATGTTTATGAAAGAAGACTGAACATGAGCCCTACTCTGCTGGAGCTTGCTAAATTGGACTTCAACATCATACAGGCTACCCACCAAGAGGATATGAAACATGCATCAAGGTGAAAATAATGATCCATACCATAATTAACCTGTTAGTAATTAAAATTAACTAGGGAAAACCATATTGGAGGTACCTATACTTTCTCTCAATTTTTAATTTGATACCTATGTGTTTTTTCCCCTTTAATTAAACATTTAATTTTATCTTTTTAGTAACATTAACTCTTATAACTTTGTTCTATTGATATTTTTAGTCTTTACATAAGGATTAATGATATTAATAGAGCAAAATTAAAGATTTAGTTAAGAACAAAAAACACATAGGTACCAAATTGAAAATTGAGAGAAAGTATAGGTACCTCCAATATGGTTTTCCCAATTAACTATTCTCTCTAATTTTGAATATAAGAGCTAGTTGAGAGGTCTGTTTGGTTCCAATTATACAGGCCCATTTGGCATGCTAGAATTGGACCCATGGGAATGGAAATGAAATTAAATTCCATTCTTCAAGCATACTTGCCATGGTAAGGGGGAGCACTTGGCTTCCATATGGAAATGAATTCCATCAAAATCAATGAAGTTGGCTTCCATTAAAAAGCCCAAAATTGATGCAATTGTTTCAGTTAGGGTTGGTTCCAATTACAGGGGCCCATTTGGTAGGCTAGAAATAAGCCCATGGAAATGAAAATGAAATCAAATTCCTTGCTTTAATAAACTTCTTTTGTACAGTTAGGGGAGCATGGAACTAGCTTCCATATGAAAATGAATTCCATCAAAATTGATGGAATTGGCTTCTGTCAAAAAGCCCAAGATTTGTAATTCCAACGCCCATAATTCATTTGTGTCCCTTCCTTCTTTCGGCTATTTAAGCTTCACACCACCACCAACAAGCTTCTGCCCCTACCGCCAATGGTCTTCTCACCCACTGTGGCCAAGCTTCCACCCACTACTATGCCTTCTTCATAACTTTAACAGTGAGTATGTAGAGAGCCCAGATTTGAAGCTTTTGGAGAACCATGACTTTGTGAGTTTTGAGAATTGAAGTGTCACCATCAACCAGCTTTGACGACAACTACAATACTGGCTTTGACAGCATCTGGATTCAATGCAGTGAACATTAACGTGAATCCGAAGCCGAATATGATGAACCGAGAGAGGACAGGGATGGGCATGACTTCTTCTTTTGTACATCGGCAGTGGAAGTCACTAAGACCACCTGTCTCTCTCACCTTCCTACTCAGATCCTCACCAACGATTTGCTGCTTTGCCATCCACGTCTCTTCCTCTACCGAAAACCGCCCAAAACTATGCCGTTTTAGGTGTTAAAATTGAAGGCCGGCTATATCCCCGCCCCCCGCCCCGCCCCGCCCGCCCCCCCGCCCCGCCCCGCCCCGCCCCAAAAAGATCAACATCCTTCACCCTGAAGCATTTTTTTCAGTAGCGTTTAGCATCCTAAAATAAGTTTTAGTGCACCTGACACCAAAAATATTTTTCAGTAGTACTCAGTATCTAACAAGCTGCACTCTAAACTATTTTTATAGTAGCACCTAGTATTCTAAACTAATATTTAGTGCATCCAGTACTCTATTATTTTTCTTATAATAACAGCCAATATCTTAAAATTAATTTAGAATGTTGTGTGCTACTAAAAAAAATATTGTATGTTCAACGTGCTAGATCTTGAGTGTTATTGGAAAGATATTTCAAAGTGATAAATGCACTAAAAATTATTTTAGGATATTGGATGCTACTAAAAATACTTGAGTTATAAATATTGGTTTGGAAGAAAAAAAAAGAGTGATCGGCCTCCATTTTCAGGACAATACGTGCTACTGAAAAAATAGTTTAGAGTGTGGCTTGTAAAATATTGGATACTACTGAAAAATATTTTTAAGTGCCAGGTACATTAAAAATTATTTTAGAATAGTGGATGTTATTGGGAAAAGAATCATCAACATTCATTTTTACACCCAAAACGACATAGGTTTGGGTAAAGGAGGAGAAGTGGATAGTTCCCGTATTTGCTCCTATGTCTACCCTCGCACTCGACCCACAGAAGTCTGTCATCACTTCCTATTGGCAACATTTTTTTTATCTCTTCCAACTTCATCTTGATTAACATTTTTAATTTAATTTTTCAGATCTTTAGAGATTTAAGAGACTTGTTCTAGGTTTGATGTTTAAGCAACGCTTCAGGTCTAGTTTGATATTTTCATGCGAAACCGACCCTGTGACCTCTCATATACAGCGGAGTATTTCATGCCATTATATTACAATGAGCTAAGCTGAAAGGAGTATTTGTAGATTTTATAACTCTTACAATGATTTACCTTTATCGGTTGCTTATTTTGAACTACAATTTTCAGTCGCCATGAAATTTCTGTCATAAATATACAACACTTCGTCTATTTTACTATTCAAGGCAGTAAAAAAATTATTAAGAAAAGAGAGGAAATAAGCATACTAGTAATAAGCCAATCTTTTTCACCTAATGTATTTTCTCTATTTGAAGATGGTGGAAAAGAACTCAACTTGGAGAAAAGCTGAGTTTTGCAAGGGATAGAATGGTTGAGAACTTCCTTTGGACCCTGGGTTTGGCTTTTGAGCAGCAACTTGGAAATTTTAGAAGACTGATGTCAAAGGTTAATGCATTGATAACTACAATCGATGATATTTACGATGTTCACGGCACTTTAGAAGAACTAAAACTTTTCACAGAAGTGGTTAACAGGTATGTAAGTTCTCTTTTGAGATGTGTATACATATAATATTACCTCCTGTCCTTAATATAAGAACTAGATAACTAATTTGAATAGATTATGAAAATTAGTTAAGTTAATTATTTGTAATAAATAAATGTTATCTTTTTTAAAATATTATTGCTAGTAATATGTATTAGTTATAACTACCTTTAATAAAACTTTTAACATATGCAGCTATTACAAGGACTATTTTGAAAAAAAAAGAATAAATATAATAAACAAAATAAATTAAGGTATTATATTTAGGACTAAGTCTAATATTACATTAAACTACTTCATATATTAAGAATTGAAAGTAGTATTGTCCTATAATTGGCACAATATTTGTTGTAAAAAAAAGTTGGCATAACATTTGTTACCATGTTATACCTCTTTTACGTCATAGATGGGATATAAATGCCATGGATGAACTTCCAGACTACATGCAAGTATGTTTTCACGCACTTAGTAACTTTGTCAATGAAGTGGCTTTTGACTTTCTCAAAGAAAATGGACGCAACATCCTTCCACAACTTAAGAAAGTAGTATGCTTTGATTTTTCATCTTTTCTATATAATATAAATCAATTAATCATGGTATATTCTCATTACATATATCAATTATTTTGTCCAATTTTTTCAGTGGGCTGATCTCTGTAAATCATATATAGTTGAGGCAACATGGTATCATAGTGGTTATAAACCCAGTTTCCATGAGTACCTAGAAAATGCAAGGAATTCAATTGGTGCACCAGTCATACTTTTCCATGCTTATTTTTGCCTTCCTGATTCAACGAACGAGGAGGACTCGATTCCATTAGAAGAATATTCTAGTGTTATTCTCTGTTCATCAATAATTTTACGCCTTGCAAATGATTTAGGAACAGCTAAGGTATCATCATATAATCCTTTCATATTTGATTAACTACTGAGTACTGCATGAAGACGGTATTGATTTTCTACATTATATATATATATATCTCTTAAATTTTGCAGAGAGAAAAAGTGACTGGCGACGTACCGAAATCAGTTGAGTGCTATATGAATGAAACTGGAGTTTCTGAAGCTGATGCTTGCGGGCACATAAATTCCTTGATTTGTGGAACTTGGAAGAAGTTGAATAAAGAAGTTAGCAATTCTTCCTCTTATAATTCAAGGAGTTTCATTCAAGTTGCTGTGAACCTTGCAAGAATGGCACTCTACATGTACCAACATGGAGATGGCCATACTGTTCAAGATGATGAAACTAAGTATCAGATAATATCACTTCTTTTCCAGCCTATTGGATGAATTTATATGCAACGAGTCTATTTAATTTGCTTATAGACTCTGTCTGTGCAAGAGTTTGTCAAACATTTTCAAATGTGTTGTTCAGTAATCAATCCGTATGCTTGATATGAATAATGTTTTTGAAGTAATTAATAATATCTCTTGTTCTTAATATAAGACACACTTGACTAATTTAAAGAGATTAAGAAAGTTAAATAAATTATTTTAAAATATTTATAATTATCATTTTTTCCAAAATAATTTGTCTGACTTATTAATTAATATATAATCTAATGATATGTTTTAGAGAAATTATGTAATATATACTATAATTAAGTAATTTATTAAGATTTCTTAATTTTTTAAACTTATCAACTCGATTTTATATTAAGAATTGGAGGTAGTATGAAGTTTGGAGGTTATTTAATATGGAAGGAACTTGTCATATCATGACTTAAGGAAAGTTTTCCAATTGATGCAACTTAAAATGCACTCTAAAAAGTTTTCATATTGATGTTGATGTGATTAAGATAATATACGATTTCCAATATATACATTTGAGGAAAGTTTGTGAACTCGTCAATTGAATTGATCCTTGTGTTAATGAATTAAGGAAGGATCTATTTAAAGCAAGAACTAGAGCCTAACTAGTAACTAATTAATTATGACACCGCACAATCAAACCACAAAAGTGAGTTGTTTTCTACCAAATGTATCAAAGGATAGTGCAATCCAAAATAATGATGCATATGATAATGAATTATATATATCTGTAGGATCCTCAAAGGTGGTTGGTAGCATATGGTTGATAAATCCTAGTATTTTTATAATGATTATATAAATTATCTTGAACTTTTAACATTTTACCAAAGTTTAAGTGAATTGATTAATTGGGAAAAAATTTAATTGTGTGAAATAATGATTAATTGGACAGATTTAATCACAATTAATTTCCTTAAGTGCCCTAACTTCTTAAAGAGGCATTGGTGAAATTGGCTCCCATCCAGTTGCACTTTATTTTCTTTTATTTTATTAGGACACAAATGGGCTATTAATATCTTTTCCATTTATCATGTTGGGCTGTTTAGGTGTCACATATTTGGGCCACGAATTAGTTAGATTTTGGGCCACTCCTTCGTCCCATGTGCACACCTCACCTGAGACCCAATTCCCATTCCATTTACCCAAATTCCACCACAGGTCATCCGCCATTTTTAATTCATTCGAAGCACTAGAAAATGCCCTTAATTCATTGCTTGGTGCAACACCTCACTTTTATATACTAATAGGATCATTTTAACGTCTGTGAATCACTAACGCCAAGTTTCCGTCCTGGAAAAAGACAGGGAATTTTTTTTTTTCCCTTTAGCATTGGAATCCATTGATCAAATATTTCAAACCTTCAGATAACTGATGAGTGATCCAATATCAACCCTGCTTTCAACTTAATCTATTATCACCTAAAATAATTTCATACTATACAATCTTATAATATTATATTAAAAATAAAGCAACGCTCTTGGTTGACAGCATATACGTTTACCTGGCAATGCTCACTTCCTTCTTCTAGAGGATACAAAATAATATTTCCATAGAGCAAGTAAAGTTATTTGCCCATATATTTTGCTATACAATTTACAGAATTATAACAGGTATCTCTGCTCTTCAACCAGCTCACCTTCTTCTCAAACAACCTCCTTATCCTTCGAGCTACTAGCCTTCACTGTTCATCATAAATGGGAGGGTGAGATTCTAAAGAATCCCCGTAGTAGTAATTTCCATCAAACAAATGTGCAGATTACATAAAGCATGCAAAACAAGCCAAAGTGGTACATAACCTTGCAAGCTAATGCAATTAAGCATTTATGCGCAATGACAGATAGACAAGCTGAATAAATAATACGCAAATAATTGGCAATCACTGCCCCATGTCTATTAGACAAGCTGAATAAATAATGCGCAAATAATTGACAATCACTGCCCCATGTCTATTAGACAAGCTGAATAAATAATGCGCAAATAATTGGCAATCACTGCCCCATGTCTATCAGTTACACGTGATTACGGCTAAATAATCCATGCAAGGAATTAAGGATTACATGTTCTCATGCTTTAAAAAAGCAATATGGCACAAACAGACATGCAGCAATCATACACAAGTGTAAGGTAGGAAAGAACTATTACCTGAACCTTCTGCTTCAAAATCAAACCTTACTTGTTTCCTTTCTCTTAGCTTCTTCGGTAGGCTCTTGCAGATATCAAAAGCTATTATATTAGTAAGGGTAGGTTAATGCTTGATCCAACATAATTTATAAATTAAATAACCCTCTTTAATTCCCAATCTCTTTCCATCTCTACCCTTACTTAATAGTTGATCATCCTAGACAATTTTCATATTCAAACTATTCTCTTTGAAAGACTTCCTTCCTTATCTCAACCCATACAATTACTTTACTTAGTAACTAGTCATCTTGGTCAAAAATACTATTTCTATTTATTTTATTTTAAGGACAATGTCATGTCTCACATGCATTTGCTTTCAAGTCCACTTACTTGAGTTTCAATCAAGTAAAAAGTCCGAATGACTTTGAGTTACACGTACTCATTTATAAATACACATTCAATCTCCCTTGTTAGAAATTTAGTCAAATAACTCAATCATTTGAATCCCCACTAAACCATTCATAATTCATTTAAACACTTGACTACCTTCCAACATTAACCGTTAGCCTCAATTATTTGGATTCAAATCAAGAAGCTCTACCTCTTTCTTAACAAGCTTGATTTTCCTTAAGCAAATTCCTAGCTTAACTTTATTTAACTTGATAGCACACGTGTATACATATTTAAGAGAGCTCACAAATCCTCTTAATCCTTTCAACAACAATAACTTGATTCTATAAACATTCTTTAGTCAATTACAATTCCTCTTCACCATTTGCAAACCTTAAGAACACAAATTTCCTTCTTGTTTCTTGAGTAACTTTAGGATATCTAAAACCAATATTTAATCTTCTAGCTATCAAGCATCAGCTAAGTCTCTATTAATCATTTCTTACTTCATTTGATAATTCTCTAACTTCTTACTTAATTTATAATTTCACTCTTTAATAACTTCTAAGAATCTCGATTGACTTAAACCCAATATCCCTCTAACTCAGCAACTTTTACATTAAACCACTCTCTCATTTGCACAGGGACCCTTCCCCAGTAACTCTAACATCATTTTACATCTACACTATTGTCGAAATCAATTGTAAAATGTTTTTGCTTCGAATCTGAAGTTTTCCCAGATTTTCAACACATACCCAAGACTAATATTTGACCATACTTACTCACCTTATACACTTAAATTTTTCTCCTTTTCCTCCTTTAAATCTTACATTCCCTATTCAACCTTTTAACTATAAAACACACCCAAGCCTCACGGTCAATTTCCTACCACTCATACACTCCCCCCATTCAAACAGCAATATAGCGTATATTTATATGATCCTATATATATATATATATAGGTGAACCAAAATCACAACTGTATATATATTTACATGTCATCAACCTTTCTTTTCCACTGAACCCGAAGCTAAAAACTTGCAGGCATAACAATCTCTATTCGGTAAACTCAAAAACAGAGCAAACAGCACTTGCATATATCTACACACACATATATACATACTTATACCGAAACTATATATATATATATATGTCAGTTCGGTCTCCTCTCAAACCAGTGAACCCGACGCCATATAACATCCAACAACCAGAAAGAAAAACAGATATCATTAACTCAAGTGATTAACGCCTGTGTTAGAAGCTAAGAACCAGAAACGAAAACAACATGCAAGCGCCGAAATACACTCCCCTGTCACGGATTCAAAAAGCAGAGCAACCCGTCACACACAAACTCCTTCTGGATCCCGTGGCATATGCATATGTCTATATATATATATAAAAGAAGCGTCCTTCTCCTCCCTTTAACCTCTGTTTTCGGTTGACATAAACAGAGGAGAACAAATGAAACCCATACCCAAAACCAGAACAAGAAGCAACGACGTCTAAGTATACCAGTATATTATTTCAGTTCGGTAATCTCAAGACAAATTATCAACCTTACATGCAAGCTTGAAAACCAACATCAAACACTTCAATCTACCCATAGAATCCGAATCCATCGGTCCTTTTATCCTTTCCATCACTTTCTCTCACTACCCTTCTCTCTCTCTCCTCAAACACGCCATAACCACTTGGATAACAGGAAAGAAAATGGTGGGAGGTTGATCAGGATGCTCACCTTGACAGTTTAACCGGTTTGCATGCAAGTGTAACTCCTCAGATCACCACCTCCGTCGCCAACTTCTCTCTCTTGGTCTCTCTCTCAGTTTATCTCTCTCTCGTGCTCTCTCTCTCGTTCTCCTTCTCTCTTTTTTTTCCCCTCTTTTAGACACCGAATGAATGAAGCGTAACGCGTGGTGATCAGCTGATACATGGAGGAGTGAATCAGACGCGTGGATGACCAGCTGTTGAATGGAGAAATAATTCAGATGTCTTGAGGAGAAGGCAGCATGTATATTTTATAATTGTTGTACCATTTTGCCCTTCTAAATAATTACTCCTCCAATCCTATCCCTTCTCCTATTTTTCTGAAATATAAGATATATCCAGAAATTAAACCAAAATATCATAAATGGATTTTTCTTATCCATTAGCTTCTTTGACCCATAAATAATTTTCCTAAGAATTTCAGATCAAAAGTCCACTCTTGACTATTTTTCTGAAATTTTCCAAAATATTTCTAAACCTTGAAAAATCAATATTCCATAATTTTCCCCAATTGTGATTGAGCTATTAAATAATTTTAATGAACTTTTTTTTTTTTTGCTCATCCTGAGTTAGAAAATTCGGGATGTTACACTTGGACTGTGAATTGTATTTCCCACTTGTTATAGGTCTAGGAATTCTATTTCTTCCCTAATTCCATGTTTCTTTTCCACCACTAGATTCACGTTGGGATTAACTAAACCAGCCCCAGAACATTCCAATTTCCATTAGAATTCAT